GGGCTGTGTTGGGTCTTCACTGCTGCACACAGGCTTCTCTGTAGTTGCGGCAAGTGGGGGCTACTCTTTGTTGCGGTGCCCGGGCTCCTCATTGCGGTGGCTTCTCATGTTGCAGAGCATGGGCTGTAGTCGCGTGGGCTTCAGTAGTTGTGGCATGCGGGCTCAGTAGTTGTGGCACACAGGCTCTAGAGCTCAGGCTCAGTAGTTGTGGTGCACGGGCTTAGTTGCTCCACAGCATGTGGGATCTTCCAGGACCAGGGCTCAAACCCGTGTCCCCTGCACTGGCAGGCAGATTCTTAACCATTGCACCACCAAGGAAGTTCCCAGTGCTGGATTTTAAGGATGTGATATTATGATGAAAAGAGGGAGGATTCCTGCAGAGTCTAATGAAGGGGTATGGGGGTTATATGGGACACGCCCAATGAGCCAGGCCCTTGTGGCTTCTCCTTTTGATCTGGGCAGTTCTGCCTGCCACTCACCTGAACCGCCGGCATGTGCCAGAGAATTTGCTGCCACCATCTCAGCCCTTGACACAGGTTTTAGATTTAGGGGTTGAAAGAAACTTATTGAACATATTTTTGGAAATGTGATGAACATAATGTTTGAGTGGATACTATCTTTTTGTACTTTCTGTCAGGCGGTAGTTTCCTTTTTATACAAATATTGGTTGCCAAAAGCTTTGTTTGAATACAAAATATGTGCAGCTGTACATATTTGACCACTTTCTTTCTTTGGGACCCCGTGTGCCTGGAGTTGGGAAAGGGATCCCCAGCTCTGTTCTGTTAAGTATTCCATCTTACCAAAGAGGTATTTCATCATTTATGTATAACAGTAGGTACCACTCAATAAATATTTTATAAGTGATAGATATTTTTGTCTGAAATTACTTTTTCACTCGAACAATGATTTAAACTCCCGTTTTTAGTTTTATGAGGTGACACTTTTATAATATCATATAGTGAATGCAGCTTGAATGTCATAGAGCTTTAGGGCAGCATTAATCATAAATTCATATGCCCCCATTCCCAATCCTGAGAGACTCTCTTAATTCAGGTTTTACCCATTCTGTGTATGGAAGTGTGTGTGTGTGTGTGTGTGTGTGTGTGTGTGTGTGTGTGTGTGTGTGTGTGTGTGTATGTGTGTGTGTGTGTGTTTGTGTGTGTGTGTTGGGGATGGGTGGGGACAAGTAATGCTTTTGACCTAATGGCTCTGAAGTTATGAATTTCAAATGATTTTCTAAGTCTATGAGATTTATTTTAAGGAAGGAAGAAAAAGTGCTTTTCAATGGGTTAAAAAAAAAAAAAAAAAAGAATATCAAACTAAACCGGAATGTAGTCCAAAACAGTTTCTCTAGTTTGAGTGGGAGCTGTTAGAGTTTAAAATACTGCCTCCCTCCGCCCCCTTTTGGATTATTGTCCACTTTTATGCAGAAAGGAAACACATATGTCTCTGGACTTAGGAGAAAGTCCAGAAACATCCTTTTCACATGGATCTGGAAGCCTGGAGCAATCCATGGCCAGGAGCCACCTACCGTGTGTGCAGCGCTGTCACAGTTCAGAGCTAGCAGGCCTTGTTTCATGAGATGGGGCTACATGATTAAATTCTCCAGTGTAATATATATCTTTAAAAAGAAAAATCACAGACTTTCCACTTCTGTTTGAGCTCTATGGGCAAGAGGAATAGCACGAATTCTACCAATATCGGAGAGGCAGAAGTCGGGGTTGGTTTATTTAGAGGGCTCATTTTAGCCAGGATTTGCAAGGGCCTTGGTGTGGCATATCGGGATGACCGGAGTCTCCGGCCTCCAAGCCTGAGGTTCTGGGTCCCGGAGAGGAAGCCCGTCTGATAAGAGAAGTAATTGAAGAACAGTGAAACGCTTCATTTCCTTTTCTTGAATTTAAGTTATGCATTTGGTCATTTTCTCTGCGTATCTATTTAATGGTTGTTAAATTAAATTGCTTTCCCTCAAGTGGTGATTTTTATTTATTTTTTAAACCATCTTTTTTTTCTTACTCCGCTCCGTTGCCCTCTGGCTCGACTGCAACTCCGCATGTGTGCAGTGGAGGCCCCAGTGTCTGCAGAGGTGAAGGCTGGGGACTTCTCTCTCTCCCCCGCCCTTTCCCAGAACCTCCCAGGGGCCCCTTGTCTGCAAGGTTGTGAGGTTCTGAATTCTTAAGCTACAGGATGTAGACTGTTTTAACACTTAAATAATACAGAATCCATTTATTTGATCCAGGAATGTGAAGAGTTCCACTTTTGTTTCGGGCAGCTCTGGGCTTTGGAGTCCAGAGCTGTGCTGTGCTCAGTGTGCCCCGTCGCAGGAGTGGGTGAGGAAGAGCCTCGCTCGGAGCATCCCTGACCCGGAGCCCCCGTTGGCAGCACGGGGCTGTCTCCTCTGCTGCTTCCATCAGCCTGTGGTCACAGAGCACAGTGTCCTGCTCTTGGATGGGCCCCAGTCTCCACTCAGCACAGCCCAACCTCAAGGCTGGAGTTTTCACCTTCACTCTTCTGGGCTTTGTCTGCTTTCCACCTGGGAATTGTCTCAAAGCCTGGATTTTGAGGGGTTTTTTTGCCTTAGGGCAGATGGGCCTGATGGTGAAGGGCCTCTCAGTCTCTTCCTTGTGAGATTGCACTTGACCTTCCTTCCTGCATCTCTCTGAACTCGGAGCATCTACCCACTCATTCATTCACTTGGCAGATATTAATTGAGGAGCTCCTCTGTGCCAGCCACGAAATAAGGCACTGGGTTACATTCTAGTCAGGAGACAAGTGATAAGCTTGTATGTAACATATCATAGAGTGATAATTGCTAAGAGAGAAACGAATCAGGACAAGAGAGGCTGGTGACTGCTCTCTTGTATGGAGTGATGGGGAGGGTGGCTTCTGAGCAGAGGAAATGAGGGCCGAGGTACGTATGAATTGAAGGCAGTTCTTCTCAACTGGGGCACACTTTGTTTCCCAGGGGACACTTGTCGGTGTCTGGAGGCATCTTTGGTTGTCACAACCTCGGAGGAGGGATGTGTGTTACTGGCATCTGGTGGGTAGAGGCCAGGGATGCTCTAAATATCCTCCAGTGCCCAGGGCAGCCCCCCCACAATGGAGAATCATCTGCTCCAAAATGTCAGTGATGCCAAGGTTGGGAAGCTCCGCTGTAGGGGAAGAGAAGGAGTAGACAGGAACAGAGAAAACAGCAACGACCAAAGCCCTGAGGTGAGGGCCGGCTGGCAAGTTTGAGGAACAGCAAGGAGCCGGGGTTCTGGGAGAGGAGTGAGTGGGGGGCAAGCGGCAGGAGGTCAGCAAGGGGTGAGGTCACTTGGAGCTTTGTAGACCCTTGCAGAGACTTTGGGTTTTACTCAGAGAAGAGGAGGCCGTGTAATTGACCCGAGAAAAGGAGTGGCCTGCCCTGCTGTCCGTCTGGCTGCCGGGGAGAGCGTGGACTCTGGCTGAGGCACGAGTGGGTGTGGCCAGGATTACTGAGGCCATCCCGGTGAGGGTGATCATGCTTGGGGCCAGGCAGCAATGTGGTGCGGTGGTTTGTCGTCAGATTGGGGGCATATTTTGAAGGTGGAGTCAACACCGAGTGCCTTAGGGTTTAGAGAAAGGAGCAAAGGACAGCCTGATTTTTGGTCCAAGCAACTGTAAGGAAGATTGGTGTTTACCGAGAAGGGCTAGCGTGCAGGTTTGGGAGGCAAGGGGGCATCAGGGCTGGTCTTTCAGGGTGGTAAGTTTGAGCTGCCTGCTTGGTAGCCCCACAGGTATACCGAGGTAGGCAGGTTTATATACATGAGGATGGAGTTTTAAGGGAGAGGTCTGCTTGGAGATTTAGATTTGAGAGTTGTCGGCATGCAGTCAAGCCCTCCATGTCTGCAGGTTCCACATCCACAGATTCAACCCACCACCGATCACAAATATTCAGAGAAAAAAAATTTCAGATGGTTCTCAAAAGCAAAACTTGAATTTGCCATGCTCCAGCAAATATTTACATAGCATTTTCACTATGTTTGCAACTATTTACATAGCATTTATGTTGTATTAGGTATTATAAGTAATCTAGAGATGATTGAAAATATAGGGGAGGATGTGCATAGGATATATGCAGATTATGTCCTTTTATATAATGGACTTGAGCATCGTTGGATTTTGGTATCCTCAGGGGTCCTAGAACCAATCCCCCATGGATACCCAGGGACAACTGTGTAGATTGCAGGTAAAGTCAGGAGTCAAGATGAGATCATCAAGGGAGTGACTGTAGACACTAGAGTCCCTGGGATGAAAGACTCCATGGAAGTGGGTTCAAGAGAGAGCCGGAGGGGGGAAACTAGAGGACCGCAAGTAGGGAACTCTTTGGAGGTGGTTTTCTCTAAAGGGGAACAGAGAAATTGGTGGCAGCTGGAGGGAGATGCAGGACCAAGGGAGGTGGTGGTGGTGGTGGTTGATGGGAGCTCTGTAGCAGATTTGTGTGTAGGTGGGAATGATCAGTGGATAGAAGGTCATGCAGGGCACAGCGGGTCAGGTATCTCTGGTGCACAGTAGTGAATGCACAGGAAAGGGTTGCTTTCAGGTCCATGTGCAGTTTGACCCTAGTAACTGGAAAGAAGAACCAACAACTCAGGAGACTTCTAGGTATTAAGTGAAATAAAGGTTCTGAAGAGGGAGAAAGATTGCTTTCTGGTCTAATGGTCCTAGAACCTTTCCTAAAGAAGGCAGGGTTTGAGCTTAGCTTTGTATATATGTGTGTGTGCATGTGTGTATTCATATGTACGTATATATATGAATCTGTATCAAGCAATAAATTTATTTCATTTTAGGAGCTTTTTGTATGTTCCAAGCTCACTTTGGCCACCATATGCCACGGTTTCAACATGAATTACAATCCATTTTTCTTGCAGTTTTCTTGGTGAGAAATGAAACATTGTTCCTTTTCACACTCTAAAGAGAACCTGATAGAAGTTTTCTTTCCTCAAAGTAACCTTTTCCTTTTCTTTCCCTCCTAACTTCAGGAACAAACTCTGGCCCTGAGGAAAGAAGGGATTGGTGTTGTTCTGGATTCCGAGCTGCCCCATTTAATTGGCATCGATGACGACCTTCTGAGCACTGGCATCATCTTATATCATTTGAAGGTTAGAAACTGCTTTCCTGGAACATTCTCATCTTGGTTGCAGCTTTCCCTGTGGACACTCGCAAGGTGTAGTGCGATACTCCGTGTCCACGAACGCAGCTACGACCCTGAAGAATATACAACAAATCCTTGAGTCCTTTGGGGATTCTCAGAAGTTCATTGGGATTCTGTGGTATTAGAAATTTCTGTTTTATGTAGTCCTAAAGCTAAATGAAGATCCATTCACTTTGCCCTCTAATTTTTAGACTCAGCCAGAGGGAGGTAAGGAACAAAAAGGCAGACAGACTGAGGAAGAAAAGTTACCAGCACCCGAACTGGGATTTGTTGGATATACAGTTTCCTGGTCCCTTGTGTTAATTATAAAGTTGTGTCTCTTGCCTACATCGTTGGGCCTCGTCCCGAGCAGGGTATCCCTGTCAAGAGAGCAGAATTTCCACATCAGTATCAGTGGTGGCCTCTGTATCCTTGACCTTAGTCTGGTCCGTGACTTCAAATGAGAATGGTGTTACGCTTGTGTTTTGAGGGCTCCCCTAAACCATATATATATATATATTTTTTTTTTTTTTCCTTTTGTATCTGGTTTATTTCACTTAGCTTAATGTTCATCCAAGTTGTAACATGTATCAGTACTTCATTCCTTTTTATGGTTGGATAATATTCCAGTGTATGTACCACATTTTATTTGTCCATGGATGAATATTTGGGTTGTTTCCACTTTTTGGCTATTATGAATAATGCTGCTGTACACATCAGCACACAAGTATCTGTCTGAATGCTTGTTTTCAATTCCTTTAGATATATCCTAAACCATATCTTTAGATACAAAGAAACCCCTGGCCACTAGAGGAGAGACTTGTCAGAAAGGATTGGGAACATCAGTGAGATTGCTGTCACAGGCAGGTTATTGATGGCAAAACAGGAGCCCAACCCTTGTCGAGCCCTGAGCCTCAGGAGTCCTGGCCTTTTTCGGACACCACGGGCTGTTGTTACAGAGCCTCAGTGAACTCCAGTCGCACTGAGGCTGTGGCCTGCCCGGGACAGAGCTCGCCCACCCGTCACCAGGTTGCTTGGGCTGCAATGGAAGAGGGAGAAACAGATCATTCCTCATGTTCTTATTAATAAATTTTGCTTGACTTTTCTCCCTAGGAAGGTCAGACATATGTTGGTAGAGAAGATGCTTCAACAGAACAAGATATTGGTGAGGATCTTTATCCATTTCCTCTTTGCAGTGATTTTTTTTGGCTGTGTTGGGTCTTCTTTGCTGTGTGCGGGCTTTCTCTAGTTGCGGCGAGCGGGGGCTACTCTCTGTTGTGGTGCGTGGGCTCTAGGTGCGCGGGCTTCAGTGGTTGTGGCACGTGGGCTCAGTAGTTGTGGCTTGCGAGCTCTAGAGCGCAGCCTCAGTAATTGTGGTGCACGGGCTTAGTTGCTCTGCGACATGTGGGATCTTCCCGGCCCAGGGCTCTTACCCATGTCCCCTGCATTGGCAGGCGGAGTCTTAACCACTGCGCCACCAGGGAAGTCCTCCAGTGACTTTAAAAAAATCATTTAATGAATTTTTTTTGAATGACTGACATTGAAGTAATTATAAAAAAGAAAACGTTTCAAATACAATATTTATCAGAACGTGTATTTCTGTAATTTTGAACTCAGCTCAAATGACTAACACAGAACAGTTAGTTCAGTGAATAGAATGGGACTGTGAATCCTTTCCCCCACCCTGCATGCCTTCTATCATCCTCAGTCACGCCTTTCAAGTGTGCTGTTAGTTAAATCACTTTACTCTTGTCACAGTGGAAATATGCTAACAGGTACAGATAAAAGATATAAGACCGTTTGATGGGAAATCCTTCCCAGGTGACACTTACCTGTGCAAAGATGAGGACAGAAAGTAGGACACACACGTACACAGCATCCACACACACAGACTTCTGGCTTTCCCCAGAGTCTTTGTGAGGTACCCAGGTGAGGTCTTGCCAGGCTTTATATTGTAGCATAACTTAGGGGATGCATGTGACGGTGGTAGAGTGCGTGTGCATGTGTGCCTGTGTGTGTGGCAAGGTGGGGATTGGCAGGGGAAGAATCATATCTTCTCAGCTGGCTTTAGAATTGCTGGCGATGAGCTTGCTTTCATGCCAAGTGTAAGCTATTAATTAAGCCAAAGCTCCCATTTTCTATGTGTATTTCCTATTTATAGTGAATCTGGGAGAGCTGGAAACCAATTCCTGGAAGTCCTTGGATTCAGCTGATTTTGGGTGAAGCTAGGTGTCAGGCCTCTTCCTCTCACCATTAAACTATCAATACATGTGACCTTTGGGTTTGTTATAAATGCGGTAAGGGCTAAGAACACGTGTTTCCTGTGAACAGAAAAGTTCAGTAGTGCAGTTCTGAGGAGAGTAGTGGGAGCCATTTGGCTTGTGCTTCTGAGAAGCTGGCCAGGAACTGTGCCTGAAATCATGTAGGTTTGTGTGACTGGCATTCATGTCCATGCCTGGCCACTCATCACACACGAGCAGCTCAGGGTGGTCGGATGGGAGTTGGTAGCCCTTAGCAGCCACATGCTCTGAGAGATCTGTGGAGGTCAGGTTCTCTCAGAATCGGCACAGGCTGTGGCTGGGTCATCTCAGGACTTCTGGAGACTTCCTCGGGCCTCCCAAGATCCATGCCATGCCGTGTTCAACTTTTACCTTTGGTACGTGCTCCTGGAACGCAGTGTCGGTAAGTGTGGAGGTCACAGTAAATCCTTGAACCATGGGGCCCTTTTTATCTCTTCCATTTTACTGTGACCTTTGGGTAACTGGAGGAGGAAAGTTATTTAGACTGAAGCAGGAGTGACTCAGTGGTATTCAGTTAAGACAAGTTACTCAACTGTTTTCTCCCCGAAGATGAAATAAATGAACGTGCCAGAACTTACTCCCTTATACAGGGGATGTCCAGACCCACCGAGTAAATACTCAGGGGATGGGTCTGTCAGTTGAGGCCAGGAACTCCTGAAGTTCAGTTTTCTCACTAAACATAAATGTTCACCTCACAGTTTTCTATGGAAAAGAAAGAATATTCAATATGAGAAAATAAATGAAGGTTGGGAATCATTGCACTAGATACCAAAGGAAATCTTTTCTTCCTCTGTTTTCCCATCTTAGTTCTTCATGGCCTCGACTTGGAGAGTGAGCATTGCATCTTTGAAAATGTCGGGGGGACGGTGACACTGATTCCCCTGAGTGGGTCCCAGTGCTCTGTGAACGGTGTTCAGATCATGGAGGCTACGCACCTCAATCAAGGTATTGGCTTTTGGTTCTGAGTTCTTTGTATGTGTTGTTTCTAGAAAACAGGTTGGTTAGGTAATGGGGGAACACGTGCATCTTAGAATTAATTACACTTTAGGTGTAAGAAGGATGAAGACTGTTTGCTTCATTAGGCTGTTTTCTCTTTTGCTGGAGAACTTCTTTTTCTTAATTAATTAATTAATTTTTTATTTTTGGCTGCATTGGGTCTCCGTTGCTGTGTGCTGGCTTCTCTCTAGTTGTGACGAGCGGGGGCTACTCTTCGTTGCAATGCGCGGGCTTCTTATTGCGGTGGCTTCTCTTGTTACGGAGCACGGGCTCTAGGTGCACGGGCTTCAGTAGTTGTGGCTGGCGGGCTCTAGAGCGCAGGCTCAGTAGTTGTGGTGCATGGTCTTAGTTGCTCTGTGGCATGTGGGATCTTCCTGGAGCAGGGCTCAAACCCATGACCCCTGCATTGGCAGGTGGATTCTTAACCACTGCGCCACCAGGGAAGCCCTGGAGAACTTCTTTATAAAATGCCCGTTGTCTTGTTGAATTAAACATCTATATATTGACTTAAAAGTTGCTGCTGTTATGGAAATAAGACTTTAAAGGAATTTGTGAAGTTCAAAATGTGCTCTTCAAATGCAAAACCTTAACACAGTGGCTTCTTTTAATAATTTTATTACCTTGTTTACATTCTTTTTATGAATAGTTATAGTTCTACATACAGGATCTGGTATCATATCTTTTTTTCTTTTGAAATAATTTCAGTATTATGCAATATTTGCAAGAACTTTAAAAAATTCATTCATTCATTCATTCATTCATTCATTTATGGCTGTATTGGGTCTTTGTTGATGCTGACGTGGGCTTTCTCTACTCTTTGTCGCAGTGCGCAGGCTTCTCATTGCGGTGGCTTCTCTTGTTGTGGACCACGGGCCTTAGAGTGCGTGGGCTTCAGTAGTTGTGGCACTCAGGCCCAATAGTTGTGGCTTGTGGGTTCTAGAGCGTGGGTTCAGTAGTTGTGGCACATGGGCTTAGTTGCTCCGTGGCATGTGGGATCTACCTGGACCAGGGCTCAAACCCATGTCCCTTTCACTGGCAGAAAGATTCTTAACCACTGAGCCATGGGAAGCCCAAGAACTACTTTCTTTCTTTTTTTTTTCCTTTTTTTATACAGCAGGTTCTTACTAGTCGTCTATTTTATACATATTGGTATATATATTGTCAATCCCAATCTCCCAGTTCATCCCACCACCACCACCCTCCCCCCTGCTTTCCCCCATTGCTGTCCATACGTTTGTTGTCTACATTTGTGTCTGTTTCTCCCTTGCAAACCAGTTCATCTGTACCATTTTTGTAGATTTCACATATATGCGTTAGTATATGATATTTGTTTTTCTCTTTCTGACTTACTTCACTCTGTATGACAGTCCCTAGGTCCATCCACGTGTCTACAAATGACCCAATTTTGTTCCTTTTTATGGCTGAGTAATATTCCATTGTATATATGTACCACATCTTCTTTATCCATTCGTCTGTTGATGGACATTTAGGTTGCTTCCATTACCTGGCTATTGTAAATAGTGCTGCAATGAACATTGGGGGGCATGTGTTGTTTTTGTTTTTGTTTTTTTAATATATCTTTATTGGAGTATAATTGCTTTACGTTGTTGTGTTAGTTTCTGCTGTACAAAAACCAAAGTGAATCAGCTATATGCATACATATATCCCCATATCCCCTGCCTCTTGCGTCTCCCTCCTACCCTCCCTGTCTCACCACTCTAGGTCATCACAAAGCATTGAGCTGATCTCCCTGTGCTATGTGGCTGCTTCCCACTAGCTATCTATTTTACGTTTGGTAGTGTATGTATGTCCATGCCACTCTCTCACTTTATCCCAGCTTACCCTTCTCCCTCCCCATATCCTCAAGTCCATTCTCTAGTAGGTCTATGTCTTTATTCCCATCTTGCCTCTAGTTTCTTCATGACCATTTCTTTTTTTTTAGATTCCATATATATGTGTTAGCATAGGGTATTTGTTTTTCTCTTTCTGACTTACTTCACTCTGTATGACAGTCTCTAGGTCCATCCACCTCACTACAAATTACTCAGTTTCGTTTCATTTTATGGCTGAGTAATATCCCATTGTATATATGTGCCGCATCTTCTTTATCCATTCATCTGTCGATAGACACTGAGGTTGCTTCCATGTCCTGGCTATTGTAAATAGTGCTGCAATACACATTGTGGTACAAGACTCTTTTGAATTATGGTTTTCTCAGTGTATATGCCCAGTAGTGGGATTGCTGGGTCACATGGTAGTTCTATTGTTAGTTTTCTAAGGAACCTCCGTACTGTTCTCCATAGTGGCTGTATCAATTTACATTCCCACCAGCAGTGCAAGAGGGCTGCCTTTTCTCCCCACCCTCTCCAGCATTTATTGTTTGTAGATTTTTTGATGATGGCCATTCTGACTGGTATGAGGTGATACCTCATTGTAGTTTTGATTTGCATTTGTCTAACGATTAGTGATGTTGAGCACCTTTTCATGTGCCTCTTGGCCATCTGTATGTTTTCTTTCGAGAAATGTCTATTTAGGTCTTCTGCCCATTTTTTGATTGGGTTGTTTGTTTTTTTCATATTGAGCTTTATGAGCTGTTTATATATTTTGGAGATTAATCCTTTGTCCATTGATTCGTTTGCAAATATTTTCTCCTATTCTGAGGGTTACCTTTTCATCTTGTTTATAGTTTCATTTGCTCTGCAAAAGCTTTTCAGTTTCATTAGGTCCTATTTGTTTATTTTTGTTTTAATTTCCATTCCTCTAGGAGGTGCGCCAAAAAACATCTTTTTGCGGTTTATGTCAAAGAATGTTCTTCCTATGTTTTCCTCTAAGAGTTTTATGGTGTCCGGTCTTACATTTAGGTCTTTAATCCATTTTGAGTTTATTTTTGTGTCTGGTGTTAGAGAATGTTCTAATTTCATTCTTTTACATGTAGCTGTCCAGTTTTCCCAGCGCCACTTATTGAAGAGGCTGTCTTTTCTCCATTGTATATCCTTGCCTCCTTTGTCATAGATTAGTTCACCATATGTGTGTGGGCTTATCTCCGGGCTTTCCCTCCTGTTCCATTGATCTATATTTCTGTTTTTGTGCCAGTACCATATTGTTTAATTACTATAGCTTTATAGTATAGTCTGAAGTCAGGGAGTCTGATTCCTCCAGCTCCGTTTTTTCCCTCGAGATTGCTTTGGCTATTCGGGGTCTTTTGTGTCTCCATACAAATTTTAAGACTTTTTTTTGTGGTTCCATAAAAAATGCCATTGGTAATTTGGTAGAGATTGCATTGAATCTGTAGATTGCTTTGGGTAGTATAGTCATTTTCACAATATTGATTTTTCCAATCCAAGAACATGGTATATCTCTCCACTGTTTGTGTCATCTTTGATTTCTTTCATCAGTGTCTTATAGTTTTCTGAGTACAGGTCTTTTACCTCATTAGGTAGGTTTATTCCTAGGTATTTTATTCTTTTTGTTGCAGTGGTGAATGGGATTTTTCCCTAATTTCTCTTTCTGACCTTTTGTTGTTAGTGTATAGGAATGCAAGAGATTTCTGTGCATTAATTTTGTATCCTTCAACTTTACCAGATTCATTGATTAGCTCTAGTAGTTTTCTGGTGACATCTTTAGGATTCTCTATGTATAGTATCATGTCCTCTGCAAACAGTGACAGTCTTACTTCTTCCTTTCTAATATGTTTTCCTTTTATTTCTTTCACTTCTCTGATTGCCATGGCTAGGACTTCCAAAACTATGTTAAATAAGAGTGGCGAGAGTTGAACATCCCTGTCTTGTTCCTGATGTTACAGGAAATGCTTTCAGTTTTTCACCATTGAGAATGATGTTTGCTGTGGGTTTGTCATATATGGCCTTTATTATGTTGAGGTAGGTTCCCTCTGTGCCCACTTTTTGGAGAGTTTTTATCATAAATGGGTGTCGAATTTTGTCAAAAGCTTTTTCTTCATCTATTGAGATGATCATATGTCTCTTATTCTTCAGTTAGTTAATATGGTGTATCTCACTGATTGATTTGCATATATTGAAGAATCCTTGCACTGCTGGGATAAATCCCACTTGATCATGGTGTATGATCCTTTTAATGTGTCGTTGTATTCTGTTTGCTAGTATTTTGTTGAGGATTTTTGCATCTGTATTCATCAGTGATATTGGTCTGTTATTTTGTTTTTTTGTAGTAACTTTGTCTGGTTTTGGTATCAGGGTGATGTTGGCCTCGTAGAATATGTTTGGGAGCGTTCCTTCCTCTGCAGTTTTTTGGAAGAGTTTGAGAGGATGGGTGTTAGCTGTTCTCTGATTGTTTGATAGAATGCACCTGTGAAGCCGTCTGGTCCTGGACTTCTCTTTGTTGGAAGATTTTTAATCACAGTTTCAATTTCATTACTTGTGATTGGTCTGTTCATATTTTCTATTTCTTCCTGGTTCCATCTTGGAAAGTTCTACCTTCCTAAGAATTTGTCCATTTCTTCCAGGTTGTCCATTTTATTGGCATAGAGTTGCTTGTAGTAGTCTCTTAGGATGCTTTCTATTTCTGCAGTGTCTGTTGTAACTTCTCCTTTTCCATTTCTAATTTCATTGATGTGAGTCCTCTCCCTCTTTTTCTTGATGAGTCTGGCTAATGGTTTATCAATTTTGTTTATCTTCTCAAAGAACCAGCTTTTAGTTGTATTGATCTTTGCTGTTGTTTTCTTTGTTTCTGTTTCATTTATTTCTGCCCTGATCTTTATGATTTCTTTTCTTCTACTATTTTTGGGTTTTGTTTGTTCTTTCTCTAGTGCCTTTAGGTGTAAGGTTAGTTGTTTATTTGAGATTTTTCTTGTTTCTTGAGGTAGGATTTTATTGCTGTACACTTCCCTCTTAAAACTGTTTCTCGGGCTTCCCTGGTGGCGCAGTGGTTGAGAGTCCTCCTGTCGATGCAGGGGACACAGGTTCGTGCCCGGC